AACATAAAAATGTTGAATGTGCATAAGGCTGACTTGTGCTTAGCCACTAAGAACCAAAATATGGCTGTGTACACTCAGCATGCTCTGCCATTGTGTGATACGTGATTATGGATTAATATTGGTAAAAGCAGCCAATAATGGATTATTCAGTAATTATAGTTAAATGAGAATAGAATAGAATAGAATAGAATAGAATAGAATAGAATAGAATAGAATAGAATAGAAGCTGGAAGGGACCTTGGAGATCTTGTAGTCCAGCCCCCCACTCAAGCAGGAGAACCTACCATCTCAGACAAGTGACTGTCCAGTCTCTTCTTAAAATTTCCAGTGATGGAGCACCCACAATTTCTGAAGGCACGTTGTTCCACTGGTTAATTGTCCTCACGTTAGGAAGTTTCTCCTTAATTCCAGGTTGCTTCTCTCTGATCAGTTTCCAACCATTGTTTCTTGTCCTGCCCTCTGGTGCTTTGGAGAATAGCCTGAAGCCCTCTTCTTTGTGGCAGTCTCTCAAATACTGGAATACTGCTATCATGTCCCCCCCCCCCTATTTCTTCTTTTCTTTAGACTAGTCAAACCCAAGTCCTGCAGCCGTTCTTCATATGTTTTAGTCTCCAGGTCTTGGATCTTCTTAGCTGCTCTTTGTACTTTTTCCAAGGTCTCAACATCTTTTTTTTTTTTTGTATGGTGACCAAAATTGGCTGCAGTATTCCAGGTGTGGTCTCACTAGGGTTTTATAAAGCGGTACTAATACTTTGCGTGATCTTGATTCTATGCCTCTGTTTATGCAACCTAGGATTGTATTAGATTTTTGGCGGCTGCTACACATTTCTGGCTCATAGTGAAGTGATCTAAGGTCCCTCTCACAGTTACTGTTTTTGAGTTAGGTCTCACCTAATCTGTACTTATACATTTGATTTTTCCTGCCTAAATGTAAATCTTTGCTGTTCTCCACATTGAAATTCATTTTGTTGGATAGGGCCCATTATTTCAGTTTGTCAAGATCTTTTTGAATCCTCAGCTTGTCTTCTGGGGTGTTGGCTATTGGCTATTCCTGCCAGTTTAGTGTCATCTGCAAATTTGATGAGTTCTCCTTCTATTTCCTCATCTAAGCCATTGATGAAGATATTGAAGAGTACTGGGCCTAAGACGGAGCTTGTGGTATCCGACTGCTTACTTCTCTCCATGTGGATGTGGTACCATTGAGGACTACTTGTTGAGTATGGTTTGTCAGCCAGCTACAAATCCATCTGGTGGTGATGTTATCTATTCCCCCTTTTTCTAGTTTACCAAGCAGTAGATTGTGGTCTACTTTGTCGAATGCCTTACTGAAATCTAAGTATACTATGTCCACAGCGTTTCACTGGTCTACTAATTTGGTTACTGATAGTTTAGTATAAAATGTGTAGCCAAAGGTTTATCATATTTTGCAAATTCCATATTCTGTAAATGGGACCGGATAATACCATAACTCTGTTCAGAGTGAGTTGTGAAAGATTTTCACTCACTAAAGGTTTTTTTTGTCAGTATGTCATGTAAACACATCCTGTTCAGATGAAAACGGGCCAGGTATCTAAAATTTGTTGTCTCATTCTTTGGCTCTCAAGGAAGGGAAGCATGTAGCAACTTAAAATATGTGGACGGAATCCTTACAACTGTATGAGGGAGACACTAAAGAACATAATCTTTGGGGGAGGAGAAAGAAGAACTTACTTTTTATTAGCTAATTAACTTGTGTATTAACTATTTGTAAGATTTGTTAATTTGTAAGATTTCCAGAGAGCAATGCACCGTATTGTATGATATGAAACATTATAATAGCTTGAAATAATTGAGGGCTGATTTGTAGTACAAGAAATAATTGTCATTACTGATCAATTTATCTGTCACAAATGAAGGTGAATATACGTGTCCCAGAATAATGTTGCAGAATCCAATCTGGGTCGGTCACTGGGACCTCAGAGGTTTCGTCTTCCAATCTTTTGGACTCGTGCTAGAGCCCATCCTCAGACAATAAACCGTATCTCTTGTATTATGTACTTTTTTTTTTTACAAGTAATGCAAAAGCAGTTGTTATGTTGCATACTGTGCTTTACTCACACTGAAAAAATGTGTAATCTAGCTTTTTGTTTTTTGCTGACATTAAATGGCAACTAAAATGCAAGTCCACTCATTGAAATATTTCATTTGCAAGGCAAATTAAGACTTGCCTTCTCCAAGTTTCCTTCCAGTGCTTCCATATAACTCCCATAATGGTTAGGGCTTATGTGTTAAGATTCCAGACTGGGAAATACAGGTTTTCACTATTTAAGCCAGCAGTAAGAAGAAACACTGAATCCTTGTCTGTTATCTTCTGAAATTAGTTCAAGTATAGATCTTTGAACTAATAGTATAATTTAATAATATGTTTAATTCTAACCATCACTAGGGTTAACAGATGTTTGCTGTGCACGTTATTTGAAAGGAACCACTTAAAATAGCTTACCAAGTGACTTGGCATTGCTAACTCAGGCAAACCTTATTATGCTTTAAGAAAACCACATGCTCACAGTTGTAAGATTTAAGAGCACTTTATTGTTCATTAAGGCTACTTTTAAGTACAAAAAAAAAAAAAAGATGGCCTGCCAAACCTTTTTTAAAAATTGCCAGGTGAAACAAGGCCACAAAAGAATGATATGTTACAGATTTACAAATATGGAGAACATTGTTCAATCTGGACTGTAGATCCTGTGGCTCTGTGAAAAAAAACTTCATGTAAGAATGAGGTTAATATCCTTTTTCCTTCTCCTCCCCCTCCCAACCATTTTGGCTTTTAAACAATAATTCTATTTTCCATGGACTATTTTTTTCTTCCAAATGGTTTTGTGTATATAGTACACATCACACTGAGAAGATAATCCTCAATGCATTTACTTCAAAGAATGTTGCACCACAATCAACACAAGTGTATGTCCATGTATTGTGTGTTAGGACTGCAGTGATTATTTCATGCCCCACTTACTTATCACAGATAAGTAAATTTAACTTTGTAGTTTTGTGCTTCAAAGAAATGTCAAAAGAGTTCTGTATCCACAAAGTCCATCTGCAGTCATTAGTACTTGTTAGACTGCTCAGTAGCCTGTAGCAACAACACACTAGTGGCTATTAATTGCTAATGCAGTGTTCTTATAGAATAACTGTGTTCCTGCACTTTTACTGTATTACAGACATCTACAACAAAAAAAAAAAAAGATCAACTTTTTTCTCCAGACAAAAACAAAAGAGAATGATTACAATAAAGGAAAGGGAAAAATTAAATAGCTACATATCATTAACAAATTAATTGTTCCTCAAAAAAATACCTACAAATTTCTCTGTACATTCTTTACGCACAGCGTAATGATGGTCTTAAAGTTACCTATATAAAAAAGTTTTTTTTTCTGCACTTTTCTTACAGGGGGTGGGGTACTGAATGCCAAAGGCGACTGGGCATTTAACTACCCATTCACATGACCGTAAAATATGTGAAAGGGGCAATGAACAAGGAGCTTCTCTTGTCTTTTTCTTGCTTTTAAAAGTAGGCAGCTACACTCTCCATGGAACAAGACAAAACAGATCCTTTGCTGATCTTTTCTAACCGTGGTTTTCATTTTTACAAAAATATAAATTCTGGCCCCAATGCTATAACGTAGTCCAAAGGACATCACGTGCACTTCAGACTTTTGCCTTATCCTATATGCTTTCAACAGCATCTATCTTTTCAGGTAACCCACTGTTAAATGGACTAGTTGTAACTGCTGGAATGTGCAGGGATTGTGGGTGAGTTGTGACATTAAAAAAAACAACAACAGCTGAGCCCATTACTACTAAAAGAAGTCTGTTCTTTATGCCTGCCTCTATTACCTAGTTAGTGACTATTAATACAGCAAATGAAATAAATGCAAGTAACACCTTTATAAAAAAAAAAGAGGAATGTATGGTGCCTTGGCCTAGGTTTATAAGCAGCCTCAAAAATTAGATTTCTGCAACTAGAGCATACATGGATAAATATGTTTCAGTAAGTAAATTTGCATTTGAGCAGTTGATTCTCCACATGAAAATTGTCACAAATGCCACAGTAGCATCCTGAATCTCATAGCACTCCATGATATATAAACTGCTTCAGTTGAGGCCTGACCAGAGGCGACTGTCCAAGGTTGCTGGCTGCTACGAAAATGAATATCAAATACAAGTATCAGAGTACAACTGTACCAGCAGTAAGTTTATCTAGGACTGTTAATGGAAAGAAAAAAACACCTAGTTTTCAACGAAGGCTAATATATTTCTTACTGTCTATACATTAATAGATACCAGCTATTTTTCCATAAAACATGCATCTTTAAGCACTATTGAACCCTCTTACCTCAGTTCTATTCTAACAAACTGCAGTGGAAAAAAGAAATGCCCATGATCTGTTGATTATGCAGTCCAGTTGCAAGCATGAAGCACCTGAAATCTACACCGAGAAGACCTATAACCTGTATGAGACTTCCCCTTCTTAAACAAATGTTGCTTCTTGTTTCCAAGAGGCAGAGACACCAGATGCTTTTTGCCAAGCAGTTTGCCCTCCGAATAGAAGCATCCTGCCTAAAGTTGCTATGCAACCCTAACCTCCTCCAATAGTGCAAATCATACACAACAGTTCTTTTCAAGTATATACATACAAAAACTACTTCACAAAGGGAGAAGAAAGTAATGGAGACAAAATCCAGACCCAATTCTACCCTCAAGAAGCTAATCAAAGCAAACAAGCATTTGGGTCAATCAACTGTACAGAATGGCTTTTTTCTTCTTTTCTTTTTCCCCATTTACTTGTGTCTACATTTTGTTTTCAGAAAGGGGGGGGCAGCAGAGTTGCATCAGAGGTTTCTTTGGTAACTGAGGCAGGAAAAAAAGAGTGCTACATTATTAAAAACAATTAAAAAAAATCAAATAGTTCCTGCTATCAATTTTAAGGGCATGTGTGTATATATATATGTATATATATATATATTTTTAAAAAAGCCCAAACACACACAAAACATGTATTGAATTGTTATCTTCTTTTATATCATCCCTCCCAACGCTTTTCGTTTTGAGTACTGTTCAAGCTCAGCCAAAACAATACCAACTCATGCTTGGATGAAGAAACTTGTGGTCCCGTGTTCATGAGACAACCGAAGGTGAATGATTATGATTGACCAGATGGGAGGAAGGAGGAGAAGAGGACTGGCCCCTCCTGGAAGCAGACTCTGGACTACTGGACACACCATCCTTGGCAGCTTTGATCTGAAGCCAGGTATCTCCGAGAGCTTTGGCAAAGTGGTCATCGACTGATCCTGTGATGGATACAGAGTTTGTCACTGGCTCTGGCTCCTTGTAATTCTTGCCAAGGCTTCTGCGGAAGTGTTCTTCTACCACCGGATCACACGCAGCAGTAGCTATAGGGGAAATGCAGAAGACGACTTAAGAAACGAACAAACTACTGCTTTTTCGTATGAATCGTCTAACTCCCTTTGCAGCTGTTCTGCTTTTAAAGTACAATTGCAGTAATCATTATTTACTTCTTAATGTACGTACAGTATGCATTAATGTTATGTATCATTACATAATACCATAAATTGCTGTTTTATTAGAAATGCTTCATTAGAATGCATTGTCCAGAATATTTTTTTCTATTATTTGTGTGCTCAGGCCCTGTAAATTAGCTAAGAGAAAAGAAAAAGAATGTATATAATTGTCATTTTAGACGACTATCTGAAAAGCCAAAAACAGATGTCTCCAACCTGAACAACTTCAACTTGTATAGACTTCAACTCCCACAATTCCCTGGTCAGCAGGGCCATTGCTGAGAATCTTGAAGGCATGCAAATTGGAGAAGGCTGTGGGAACATGCAAGTGAGCTGCATTTCCGTAGATTGATTCTGTATGCTCCCAAAACTGTTCCCACAAAAAATAGGAAAACTGAAAATCAGAAAATCATGTGGGTTTTAAGAAGGTTCCAAAAAGAATCTATGAGACGTTCAAACTTTTAAAAGTTTTTTAAAAGTTCAAAAGTTTTTTTAAAAGTGCACATTTTTTCCCCCTTTTGTATTTCTTGTTCATTTTATTCTAGCCAAAGTAATAAAAGGCATTTAAATGTTGTCTCTCTTCAGTCTATTTTTCGGTAACCAATTCCACATTATGTTGTCAAATATACACAAAATCAAGGGAGGGGTTTGATTCAAATCTAAATTAGCTATATTTAGATCCTATTAAAATCAGTGTGAAAAGTTGGTCACGAAATTAAAAGTTTACCCTTGCTAAAAAGGGCTAATTGTTCTATCTCCTGAGTCACAAGCAGCTGCTGGGAAGCAACAATGAGGGAGGGCTATTCGTCTACTATGCATTCTGCTGAGCTTCTCATATGCATTTGGCTGACTGCTGGCTGTTACGAAAGGCTAGACTAGATGGGCCCTTAGCGTAACCGCTGAGTGGCTTTTGCTTTTCTTTCTGAAACTCTGGATTTCAGACTCCAACTTCATTTCTGCTCCCACAAATCCATTATTATATTACCTTAACCTTTCATCTCTTCATTAGCCTGCCTAACTGTTTATATCGAGTGCTATTGAAAATAAAGATATGTTGTCTTTAAAAATGCACAATATCCAATCAGCCGAAATCCAGTTACGGTATATGGATTTATACTTTATTGATTTTATTTATATTTTATGGACTTTAGAATACGTACAAAGGTCATAAATAATCTTCCTAGATTTTCTTCTATCAATAAATCTTAAAAAATTTGAACAGTTTAACATTTCTTCTAATTAAAAATAGGAAGATCTTAGCAGGAGTTCCCCTTTAATACAAACATGTAGTCCTCGAGTTGCCACCATTCATTTAGTGACTGTTCAAAGTTACAACGGCATTGAAAAAAGTGACTTATGACTGCTTTTCCATACTTAATGACAGTTGCAGCATCCCCAGGGTCACGTGATCAAAATTCGGATGCTTGGCGATTGGTTCATATTTAGGGCAGTTGCCGTGTTCCGGGATCACATGATCACCTGACAAGCCAAGTCAATGGGGAAGCCATTGTTGTGGCAAGAAAGATGGTAAAATGGGGCAATAACTGTCTCACTTAGCGACAGAAATTTTGGACTCAATTGTGGTCGTTAAGTTGAGGACTATCTGTAATTACATATTTAATTTGATTGTACTACTTTCAGCCTGCTTAAAAATGTTTCTATTTCTGTAATTCATTACATTATATTAATAGTTATTTGATAACCGCATATAAAATGCGGTTTTCTTTTCTTTGGAAGGAAAATTATGGCTGTGAGTGTTACTTACTGCTAGACGGTCTTCGGTAACTGGTTGGCACAGCAGCACCACATCCACTGTGCACAACTGGACAATGAGAAAGGTTACAGTTTCGATTGCTTGCAGAGGCACATGTGATTACAGATGGACGGTTCTGAGGATAAAAGAACATAGAAATCATAGGCAGCTCCTCAAAGAGTTGTTTAACCTGGCAGTTACAATTTCAGAGCAGTTGCTAGGAAATTCTGTTCTCCAAAACTCATACAAGCAATATTTTTAAATAACTGAAAAATAACAAGATTCCCGGATCAGGCAAGGTGTTAACAAGAATTGGGAGATGACAATAATGATTTTAGCAATCATTGGAGGCCAAACTGTGATCCAGAATAAAACTGCTGCTACTCAAAGTGGGTGGTCTTAGGTATTTCAGCAGTTTTCTGGTTACTGAATGAAGAAATAATCAGGAATTGTTGGTTCCCTCCCGCCAACCCACCCAAACTTTTAAAAAAAACAAAAACAAGGCCTTACAATGCCTTGGTAAGGCCACACTTGGAATACTGCATCCAGTTTTGGTCACCACGATGTAAAAAAGATGTTGAGACTCTAGAAAGAGTACAGAGAAGAGCAACAAAGATGATTAGGGACTGGAGGCTAAAGCATATAAGGAACGGTTGCTGGAATTGGGTATGTCTAGTTTAATGAAGAGAAGGACGAGGGGGGACATGATAGCAGTGTTCCAGTATCTCAGGGGCTGCCATAAAGAAGAGGGAGTCAAGCTATTTTCCAAAGTACCTGAAGGCAGGACAAGAAGCAACGGATGGAAACTAACCAAGGAGAGAAGCAACCTAGAACTAAGGAGAAACTTCCTGACAGTGAGAACAATTAACCAGTGGAACAACCTGCCTCCAGAAGCGGTGAATGCTCCAACACTGGAAGTTTTTAAGAAGAGACTGGACAGCCATTTGTCTGAAATGGTGTAGGGTTTCCTGCCTGAGCAGGGGTTGGACTAGATGACCTCCAAGGTCTCTTCCAACTTTATTATTATTTTTATTAAATCTTGTTTCCATTCTTAGTCCTTTAACAGGCAAAATAAGAAAACTCATCCCCAAACAGGCTTGTCTTGCATACATGAATCTTACAATGCATTTGTATCTTTGTTTCCGGCAGCACAGTGATTGAAGTGCAGCAGTGCAGGCAAATTCTGCCCACAGCCTGGAGATTGATCCAGGCAAGGCTCAGGATTGACTCAGCTTTCCATCCTTCCATAGTCAGTAAAATGAGAACCCAGATTATTGGGGGCAATATGCTGATTCTGTAAACCACTTAGAGAGGGGCTGTAAAGCACTATGGGTTGGTATATAAGCCTAAATGCTATTGCTATTCTCTCAACTTGGATCAGCCTGAAGGGAAGAGGCAAAATCTGTGCCTGGGACAAAGGGGATCCTGCGGAAAGCCAACCTATCTCTGACCAAAAAAGACAGTGGCCACAGCACTGTCTTGCCTTCCCATTTGCTAGAGTCAGAAAAAGCAGCTTTTTACCTAAACACAGACTGCAACTGAGGCCTTAATACACTCACATTCTGTGTCTTGGGGTGATGGGAATTTAACACCAGCAATATTTTAATTGGCTGCTAGAGCCAAAAACGTTTGTCAGCCCATGCTAACGTAAAATCTGAACTGGAGATCGAAATCCAGAACTATCAACTTTTATGATCTTGGTCTAATTGTACAGCTTTGTTTACTATATTTCTACTAGATCTGCACAATGCCAAGGGAATAATTAAGAAAGGATGCTTCAAAGAGTGCTATCCTGGGAAAAGAACTGATTGATTTAAAAAGTTGCAAACAGGTGCTTTGCTCATAACCACATACCCTCTGCAACATCTTTGGGGTGCTGGACCCAAATCACTATATAACTCTAATTCTGCTACACCCGGCAACAGAAGTTGTTTTAAGATTAAGTTATCATAATCTGAACGAAGGCCCTTGTAAACTTTAGCTATAGGAATAATAAAAGAGAGCAGATACACAGTAAAACAAAATACTGCATTTGACCCAAATTCAGACTAATGGACAATCAGACACAACTAGTAAAGAAGAACTTTCAATCAATACTGGGTTGCCTGAGATATTCCTTTACAAGATTGCCTGAAATAAATGTAGGCATCAATTCCCATCTTAATAGGGAACAGTGAGGGTCATTTCAAATAATTTAGGTACGGGACTAAGGGAACAAGCTCTTGGCTCTTCCAGTCATTAAAATACTAGCAGAAAAAATACTTGCATTAATCTAGCAATCTGTTTGGTTAATATTCAGATATAACTGCTTTATTGGATTGTTTACCTTTAGCTTTGTATTACTATTTTTTAAAAAAGGATAATGATTTCTTAACATACATTCCAGGCATCATGTGAAACGTTATATATTGTTAAAAATTAAAAAAACATAGTAATATACCAAATTACACACCACAAAACAAGAAATCAGTCAATATACTTAAATAGTTAATAACCAAAAGGCCTTCAATGTAATATCCAATATTACCTCTGGGAAGGAAATTATATTTAAGTACTACTAAATGATTTTTAAGATATGGCCACAAACACAATAATTATCATCCAGTAAAAACAGTTCTTGTGATACTGTTCAATGACGGATCTGATTTGCCACTCCAAGAAACAATAATAGGAATTATCATGCAGCCCCAAAGTCATAAGTGGAAGCCTCTCCCTTCCTTGCCTGTCATCAATAAACCAACAATGCCGAGGAAATACAGTATGCAGAACAATAGCAGGTGGACTGAAGCACTGGATTATACTACATAACACCCCAAATGATAACATAAAAGACAAAAAAGTGTTCAGGTCATATCCCAGTGAATAAAGGTTGCAGGGAAAGTACAAAATGCCAAATGCTGGCTAATAACAATTATAAGACCAAAGTAACACTGATTTAGCTGAGTGAAAAACTTTTTGATTGGGAAAAATTATCATTTTGAATTTAATACTAGTTTCTAAGTGGGCAATGGTAGCTGTATTGTATTTTTTCCTAAGTCACAAAGGAACATGTTGAGACATGAATTAGAAAGTCCCTTACAACATCTTACAACTACCTAACTTAGTAGCAGTTTCTTTTAAAAAAAAATCCACCTGGAAAAACAGCGAAGAAATAAAAGGGCAGATCTAATTTAGGCGATAAGATAAATCTACAGAAATGTTCTTAAAGGGAGCAAAAGTGATAGTAATGCAGGAAAAGAGTTTAGAAGCACATATACTAATTTATTTCATAATCTGCAAGTAACTGAAACAGGAACTCATGCAATCCTCCAAATAAGCTACAAAAGCTTTGTATCAGTCAGTTACAAAGTAAGATAGCTCACACAAGATTGGCTAGGAATTTATGTGTCTAAATATAAAAAAAACAAGATCTGTGATAAATATTTTTCATGTGCCAACTTTTTTTAATCCTTTAAAATGAGTGCCTTTTCTCTCATCTTTTGTCTGACGGTTAAAAAAAATGGAGATGATTCTAAGGCTTGTGTTATGAATCCGGTTTAAAATCCTTCAATGTTACATTTAGTAGCTTTACCAGGAACTTGCGGGAATTGCTCATCAGCTCAAATTTTCATTCAAATACGAAGATGGAAATTTTGAAGTTGACTGCAATTTGAGGAAGGCAGGAAGAAAGAGAGAGAGGGGGGGGGGACTTTGGTCTTGGATGACATTCCTACCTCTCCATGAATCAAGAAATCAATGGTCTGCCATCATCTTGTAATGAACTCAAGGTAGCATTTTTAAAAAAAAAAAAATAAGAAAAAGCATCCTTTCCCATCTGTCTGCTCCAGACAGAATTTCTAATTAAGGACTGTCCTTCATTCAAAGATACTTTTTTCTTCAAAAGGCAACTGCACTATTTTTTCCCTGAGGAAGAAGAAAACATTTTGCTTCTCATCCAAGAAGCTTCAACAGTTCTGATGGCGGGGGGGGGAAGGGGGGGAATGGAAAGATAGATTCTGATAGGATGCGGGTGGTGATGGAAGGATTGTATTTCTTTGCACGCATCTGGCTGTTAGCACTCTCTGAGAGCTGTTGAGGACACTTGGGGAGGGTTATCTGTGCCCTCAGGGTCACCTGAATTAGGGTAGGATTGGTTGTGGAATCTTCTTGGAACTGATGCAAGTGTTGCATTGTAAACTGGTGATAGGTGGTGTCTTATTCCTCCCCCTCTGCTGAGGAGAGCATGTTCAATTCTAACATAGATGGATCCTTTTGCCCCTCTTTCAAACCAACAGCCCTCTATCCAACTATGACCTGGATGACTCAGAATCTCCAGACTTCTCTCCATTAACAACTGATCGATCAGGAAACCTATTTCTGAACTGTATCACTTCAGCCCTCATCAAATATGATTATTGTGAAACACTTCCATTATATACATTAAAAAAACAAGCATGTCAAAAAAAAACAACTTAGCTACAATTCTTCCTCCTCAGCTTCAAATCTTCTGCATGTAATTTATATAGAATTTGTTCCAACCATTCAAATTTTTGAAAAGCGAGTTAACGATAACAGTATTAATCAATATTTAACAACTGTTAAACAATGATTTCTTTTTTGAAGACTAAAACAGGTAGAGGAGAGCGTCTTTAAAATAGGTAGAGGAGAGCGTCTTTGCTTTCTTGTGAGTTTAGACAGCTAAGAAAAGGCCCTTTCCCAATGTGTTGGAATATCTGGTATTCCTCAGTAGTGCTTGTTTTAAGAGATCTCTCAAATTTTGCCTATATTAAAAATATTTATTTATATATGTTTCAAACAACCAGATTTGCAAAGTTCCATTATGCCTCCACTGTTTGCAAAATTATTAATTGGGACGACTTATGAAAATTATGTAGCCAATGACTCAGCAAAAACCAGCTAACCACACACAAAAATACACACACAGAAATACAAACATTGTAGAAAAGCTAAATGAAAAATAGCTGCCCAGAAATATGTATCTTAGCAAACAAAAATGCCAAGTACCTGCTGCCGTTCCACTGACGTCATTGTAGGAGTCATGCTTACAGACCGAATAACATCCATGCTGTTTTTGGTCAGTGCTAGAGGTTGCTCCATAGTTAAGCTTGGGATTGAGGCATATATATGATTAGCATGAAGGCCCATTGTTGGTGCAACAGCCCGTTCTATGGGACTACGACTCCTTTCTCTATGTTCTTTTCGGTAATCCCCATTTGCAGTCTTCATTCTAAGAGAAAACAAACAAACCAATATTTTAGTGTTGTGCATTTAATTCAAGGAATGTACTCCAAAGGCAGGTTTATAGCTAATCTTCGATTTAACTTCGGTGATGTAGGAACCATCTGGAGTTAAAGCACCCCACAAAGCTATTTATGACTTAGTTTCGAAGTTATGGCCTCTGCAGTGCTCCCATTGTCAGTCACTCTTACACTGACCTCAGGGATGCTGCAGTGCTCCCCCCTCCCCCCCAACTATCTTCCCTCCACCATCCCACCCACTGGATCCTGCAGGTTTTCGGACCTGCCTTCCCCCATGTCCTGCAGTCCTGCTTCTGTCGCAAATGGCATGCAAATGACTAGTTTCAGATGGCCTGGGACCATTTTTAGAAAACCATTTTTTCCTATCCTCATAATCCAACATTTTATAACAGTACATATTTTATGCCTCTCTACTATGGAGAGACATCATTTCTTTATACCCACTGATAATGATCAACATAAATTTTAAATTTCATTTTTGATCTGAGCTACATTTTATTAAGAACTAGCTGTACCCGGCCACGCGTTGCTGTGGGTCTCGTTCACTCAGCCAACAGATGGTGCTGTTTTTCAAAAAAAGCATGTTTTTACCTGTCACAGGTATGACATCTATATAATAGTAGGTATATAAAAACACGTGCGTATTCGAATGCAACGTTGTGTCAAAATTTCAAAGCAATTGGTGAAGAACTTTCGGAGATTTAAGATTTTGAACAAACAAACATTTACATTTTTATTTATATAGATTTAGATCATCTAGTCCAACCCATACTACTATACTACTACTAATAGTATAGTGTAGTATACTATTAATACTACTATAAAATGGACTCGTGGTTGGCTGAATGACTGTACCCCAAAAGTACTAATTAATGGTGCTACTTCAGCTTGGAGAAAACATCAAATGGAGTGCCATAGGGTCTTGGCTGTTTCAACATTTTATCAATAACTGCAATGAAGGAACTGAGATGTTTTTCAAGTTTGCAAATAATTCAAAACTGGGAAATGAGAAAAGATACCTAAGCAGGCTTGAGAAGTGAAATGAACAGCTGGGCAAGATGGGTGGCACATAAATTAAACAAACAAACAAATAAATAAATGGGAATGGCCTTGAGAGATAGGAGGAAGAGCTGTTTCCAAGGTAATTGTCAGATAAAAGGGGCTGGAGCTTGGGCCAAGAATGAAATGTGAGTAAACAACTCAGACAAGCACCTCCTTAGTTCACACAAAGATAAATGGAGAGCACTTTCATATTTGCAAGATTCTGTTACTAAAGCTTTAGTATAAAAGTAGTACTGATTATTCATGGCATTGATTTCCTAATCTGGTTTATCTTGAAGGGTTGACAAAAGGCCTGCATTAATAAGGAAGGGCTATATCAGATAATCCCTAAGGTCCCTTTCCACTCCAAGAATCTAAGCATTTCCCAACTGGTAGACAGACTAAAGGTGGGGAGATCCATGTTGAAGTCTACCCTCAATCTTAAAACTCACTGAAATCTTGGATTAGTTTCTCTCTCTCATCCCAATTAGCTCCTAATGGGGTTGTGAGGATAAAATGAAGGGAGAACCTTGTGTAAGTCCTTATGAGTGCCAGAAGAAAAGTGAGATATAAACCAAATAAATTAAAATTTCAAACTGCTATTGTTAGAATATGTGAAAAGGCTTGAATTATTCTTGAAACAGGATCTACCGCATCTAATTGCCAATATAAAAGCAGTTATGGAATAGGGATGTTGCCAACTGAATAAAATTCAAGTACTTCAATGAGGAGACCTGCTATACTTATTCCTTAAGATATATTTATTTAGCAATTCTGCTTATTCTCAGTGAAATAGAACTTTTTCACAGAGGCATTAATTACATGTTGCACTAAAATAAAAATAAAAGCTTTGTTTACAAATTGTTAATGCATTTAGCATATGATCTTGGAAATACAGACAATGCCTTAGAAAAAATATGAATCATGTAAAAACAAATTTTCTAATTTGCTGACTTCAACAAATTAATAGAGGACAATGATTTAATGTGTTGTTTATGTATGTCTGTGGTACCATCAATTATAATTCTGCCTTCTGCTTTGTGAAACGTATAAAAAAATATTGTGGTCTTTTCTCCCTATTTCAAAATTGAAGTTTTTAGAGACCTCTAAATGCAAGAAACAAATTTAAGGGATTTATGATGAGTTTAGAAGGGATAACTGGTGACCTGCACTGCACTTAAAGAAGTTGTATAGTAAACAAATTGAAGTTAAGACTTACAGATGTGTGTTACTACAAGATTTGATACATTTTTTTAAACAGCCCAGTTTTATTTGGATTGATTCAAGGATCATTTAATTTGATTCTGGCAATGAACCAAATCTGAGTTTCAGTTAGCCAAAGTCCTGTGCCTTCCTCTATCACTGAAAACCAAAAATGGCTGTATCATTTTTTTTCTGAGTGACAGTGTTGTTTGACATTTTAAAAGCATAAGGAGATGAAAGTTGCATTGGCTTTTGTGCCAGATCCACCAAACATAGACTTACAACACAGGAGCAGCCTTATGTAGAATAAATAATAAAAAATGAGAAAATGGAACCATAAAAATTTGCCTCCATTCCTCACCTATGTGAGTTTTGGGGTGGATGTGGGGAGAAGGGGTACTTCATTTGAAAGTTACACACCTCATAAAGCTGCCCCATGAAAACTGCAAAATATCAGAGTGAATATTGCAAAGATAAGTGAATGAACACAAATTCAAAATATTCTTCTGCTATGCACACACTCACATCCAAAAAAAGGAGTAGCAGAGGCAGAAGCAAACATCCATTGCCATAACGTCTCAGATGCAACCCAATTATTTTAATAATTCTGCTCTTGGGACAAAACTAATGTAACAATGGAAGCATGGAAACTATGCAGCTGTATTATTAGTCTTCTTCCCAAACATTAGGATTTGACAGTCCTGCTAAAACTCTTACTCTCCCTGAAGCTACTGCTGTCAGTCACAAAACTAAACTCTTTCCTACTCTTCGTCTGTCCTTCCCTAGCCCCCCCCCCATATCTCACATCGAAATCTTCTCTCTATATGGAGAGCTTAAAGATAAATATGTGTATTTTTGTAGTCTCATTGTATGTCTCCAAAAATTAACAAAGATTTGACAGCATTTACATTTGCTATAAATAAACTCCAGTCCATATTTTGATTCTGACATTTCTCCAAATCTGATGAACACAAGTAGGAAGAACAGTCAGCCTACAGTAAAGAGTATTAATCTATCAAGGAGACTTTTTGAAAGCAGAGACAACTAGAAATTAATTGTTGGAGGAGGGAGGGAAATCCTCTCTCCTATCTTTTAATGAAAATGTTATTTTTAGTTGAATATATCCTATTGGAAAATTTAAGCATGTATACCTACAAGTGTAATGTGTGCTATTTCTTATACAAAAACGTTTCATTGCCACACATTGGTAATTGTGGCAATAGCAATAGCAGAATGCTTGAGTAGCAAATTAGAAATAGCTTTAACCCAACAGATACTACTTTAATTTTAAGATATATTTTTCCTTTCTTTTGATCTCTGCTTTAAGAGACTTGACAGCTTGACTCTCACTAAGACACTCTTAATTAACAACAGTTATATTATTCCAAAGGAGTCTTATCCATTATCTCTTTTCTTTGCATGCTTCTGAAAGGACTGACATAAACGCAATATATTGTTGAATTAAAGTACAAACAAACTGCCTCCTTTATCACC